CCACCACCACCACCACCGCGACGACTACTACTACTGCTGTTCTACCAGCACTGTGCGTCTTCAACGCGTTCTCCAGCCACCGACTCCATGTTGATAGTAGGGCAGATCGCCGCGATACCTGCCACAAAGCCCAACTCGCCGTCTCGGCCTGGTTCACTCCAGACGGTTGAGGGTTTAGGGTTTAGGGGGTTTAGGGCTTACATCTGGCTTAGTAACTTAGTATTTAGGACTTTGGGGTTTAGGGGAGCCTGGGTTTTTCATCTTTGGAGCCATGATTGCGCTCATTTTGCCCACCGCCGTGAACTCCCAGCGCTGTTTGGTCTCTCCTCTCGGTCCCACCAGCCTTTGCAAAATCTCCTGGCGCGCCTGCTTCAAAGATGCAACTGAACCAACAAAGTCCAAACCACAACTCCTAGAACACCGCGTAAGCATCGAAACGAAAAGTTCTTACAGCTTAAACCCCAAGCACTTGCAGCAGTAAAAGGGGCTTAGTGACAAGCTCGGAAATTCGGGCTATATTCGAGTATAAATTTAAGAAGGAACCCTAATAATATTACTGGTGATGATTCGAAGAGTGTCGAGTGTCGGGTTTACAAAGTCTGAGATCAGGGCTTGTTGGGGTTTTAAGGTCATAGGCTTCCTGAAGCCCTCAACCCCCAGGCCCCCCCACAACGGATCCCGGCCCGGATCCTAACCACCGCTGAGCGTTCTCTCTTGCACCTCTTTTACCCCTAAGCCCTATAGACCCCAAGCCTGAAGCTACACGCTAAAGCCTCATGCACATCCTATGAAGTAATCCTGGTTTGCCCTCGGAGGCACGCGCCATGGCTGAACAACTGCATGGCGTCTTCCAGAACTTTAAGTTGCCCGTCGTCGGCTTGGGAAACTCCGTAGCTGAAGTCGGGGGGCGGTTTGGGTTTGGGTTTAGAGTTTAGGGTTGAGGGTTCAGGGTTGAGGTTTCAAGTTGGGTCAACAGTTGGCTTCAAGGTTTTGGGTTCGGTCTGTTTGTGGAGTACAAGGCTTGCGTTGGAGCTTCATCATGCGGGCTACCCAGTGTGGCATTGAAGCTTAGAGCTTTTGGGCTTAGGCCTTAGGGGCTTTGGGATCTCGTCCCCGCCGCAGAAAGCTGACATAGCTCAGAATCGCACGGTAAAATGCATTTTCGAGCCAGGACCGGGGGAGAGAGCCCTCTGTGCATGGAGTCCTTTGAGGGCTGGGGCTTTTGGCAGGTGTTGTTTTTAGATCTCGCCCCTGAATACATCACGTCACGATCTGTTTCAGAAAACAGCCCTGGGCTCGCGAGAGAAAGGAAAAGAAATACCTCCTGTCCGACACTGAAACCCTACTAACACCTGGCAGAAGGTTGGGACAACGGCGAAGCCAGAGGTCACGGTGTAAGAGTCAGGGTTCAGGAGTTTAGCCTGCTGGCAGGGTTTTAGGATTGTGGGCTTCAGGGTTTAACATTCATAGTTTTGGCTCTTCAATTCTGCGGGGTGTCTAGAACGTACATGCACGCCACGTTGATGCTCTAATTAAGACTCCCCCTCGGAGAATGATGTGATTGCCTGATTCCAGCAGACACAACCTAAACCCTAAACTCATAGAAGCGGAAGAGCAGGTGACCGAACAAGTCCAGGCTGCTCTAGCATGCACCTTGAACTCTGAGCCTTGCATCCGACGCACAGATTCGCTTTCTCATCTGCTGAACCGTTAACCGTAAGGCCCCTGACCCTAAGCCCCTAAACCCAAAATCCCTAAACCTAAGCCCTAAACCCCCAACCCTAAACTCCTAAACCCAAAACTTCCAACCGGGTAAGTTCTAGAGGCACAAGCAGCCAAGCTCCAAACCTGAAGCCCTAAAGTTGCTCCTTTCTGGAGGCCGTTGTACCCCTTTTTCTTTCGCATTCCTTTAAGGGATCATAAAAGGGATCCTATAAGTGTTCTATACGGGCTTAGGATGGTTGCCAAGAGGAGAATAGGTACAGGCCCATGCTTTTGGGGCCTCTGAAGCGGAAACATGAAGTTGCAACCTCGACCTGGCCGTGTGAGGCTTTCTGCCCAAACCCCTAACTCCGATGTCGATCAGACATCTTGAACCTTAAACCCTAAATGCCCGCAACCCATCTTGAAACCTCATGCCGAAGGAGGAGATTCATCTGATTCCGTTTTGGCCCTAGACCCTACTTAAGCCGTTCCGGAAATCCCTCAAACCATCAGCTGCAAGTTTGAATCTTGAAGTATCCTAAACCTCTCCAAAACCAGCTTCGACAGGAAACTGTTAACCCTAAACCCCGAAAGCAAAAAAATCTGCCTCCGCCGCACCATGCCATCTTGCCCGTGGCTCAGAGATTGGCTGGGAGCTGTGGGATGACCATTATGAATTCTTGGTTTAGGGTTGAGGGCTTTAAGGCTTCAGGTTGTGCTTAGGGCTCACAGGCTCTACGAAACCCTACATTACGGGTTAGGCATTTTCAGATTCAGGGTTTAGGGGTTTCGACTTCCGCAGTAGAGTTGAGGGCTGAGATTTGGTACTGTAGCACTGTAGTACTGTAAGTCACTATGTATTATGTTGAAGACTGTCTCCGAAGGTCTGTCAAGGCTTCATCGGCCCATCAGCGACTGCCTGCGAGGTCTAGGAGTCTAGGCACTAATTAACAAAAGGGTACTTCTCTAAGATAGAGTCCTTGTTTGGGCCCCCATAAGAGTACGGTACCCTATAAGAAGGCCCCTTGAAGGGACCCGAATGGAAAAAAACTACCCATCTGGGCAAGAGCAGCTCGTTCAGATGTCGAGCGAGGGTTTAATTACACTGTTGCTTGGGGGGTTCCTTTGTGTAAGCATGGTATACAGTAGTACTTGTAACAGGGTTTAGGGTTTAGGGTTTAGTAACCCCAAAAAGCAAAGGCCAGGAGTTCTTTTCGGCATGCTTCTCCTAACTCCGAAATCGACCTCTATATCCCCAAGGGTCCCAGTGTCGAATAATCATATACTCTCCAAAGTAGTATCCCACAAAATGACCATCATCAACCCAAGTACCGAATTCTTAGGTCCTGTGGAACCCGAGGTAGGATATGAAAAAGACTTCCTTTGTGCTCCTCTGCATCTCCCCTCTCCAGCGAGCCTGACTTCAACTAAGCTTACCCGTGCAGTATCCTAGGGGATTAGAGGGTGAACTTCTGGAGTTTTATGAAACAGGGTCATAGTACCACTAGAAGGCTAAAGGTTACCTGCTCTACAGCTAAGTAACTCTCTTCGTTAAGAACCGGGCCCAGCAAAGTTCCAACTTTCGATGGTAGTTAGACCAAATATGCACGGACACAAAGATTTTAAAAATCCAAACTGAACACAAAACCCCAAACTAAACCTTAAAACCCTGATTGACCCCAATGCTCTAGAAACCCCAAGACCCTATATAAACCCTTAAACCCCCGAAAGTAATTAACCCCCAAAGCCTAAACCTCAAGACCCTACAACCCTTAAGCCCCAAAGATCCTACATCCACAAAACCCTAAAACCCCAAAACAAACCGCAAGTGCGTGGGGCACGCTGGTTGCTCGGACCTGCGTCGGCATCTTCTCTGTTGTTTTGGGGGTTTAGGGCTAAACCCTAAACCCTAAACGGGTTTGGGGGGGTTTAAGAGTTTGGGAGGTTTCGGAGCTTAGTCGGTGAATTAGATTTTTGTGGTTTAGGGTTTTGAGTTTTCGGAATTTAAGGTTTCGGGGTTTGCTACAGTGAATTAAGGATTCTAGAGAGTCTTCGGGGTTTAGGGTTTAGGGTTCATGGTTTGGCCTGCTGCAAAAGGGTTTAGGGTTTAGGGTTCTGGGTTTGCTAGAGTGAATCTCCAGTTCGAAGGCTTGGCGAGACAGAGACCTGCAGGAAATCAGAGCAAGTACATGGGGTGCTCTTGTGTGTCGTACCGCTACTCTACTGTCCGAATTTTGAGACTTTGGGATTGTTTCGGGCTCCAGATGCAGGGTGTTGAGGGATTTACGGTTTACGCTTCAGTCACTTCCGGCATGAAGCCGGAAGCCTGAACATACTGAACTAAACCCCAAACCCTAAACCCTAAACCCTAAACCCCTAAACCCTAAACCCTGAACCCTAAACTAAACCCCAAATTGAATACCAAACTTGAAAGCCCTGACACCCTGGACTGCATCACACGACATCGGGCAGTCAGACTTTGGCGATCTAACCCGTTGATGCGAAATTAGGGAGGAAGGTCTTCCTCGGTATGTTCCTTTAAGGGTTTAGGATTTAGGATTCTGTAGGACGTATGTACCTTAGAGCACTGTCTACTCTTCTTAGTCTTGTGCGCATGTTTCCTATTGAAGCTGTTTGCAAGCACAAAACCTGCGAGTTGACGCCCACAGCTCATGATGCGCTGTACGGGCCTCAATAATTAGACCAAGATTTCGGGGTGTATTTTGCTATACTTATCTTCGGGTCCCCTGGCCTGCCTATGAAAACCCTAAAGCCTACACTTCGAA